TTCTAGTGATTTTTGAATTTTGTTCATTAACTATAGATACATAAAATTAAATTTATTTATTTATTTATTATTTATTAAACCAATTTATATAGCCGCCCATCTCACCACAGGCTATATATCTGGGGAGCATACAACAAAGCTAAAAACAGTCAATAAATACATTAAAAATATAAAAATGCAAGTTTGATAGTCTAGAAAATCCAGTTAAATGGCATATACTATTCCTGTATTGAGTAATTATGTGGTCCCTTACAATAAATTCATCCCATCAGCCAGTAATAATAATGCATATTTTCTGTATGGTAGGTGAGTTATGCAGTTTATTAAAAGCAATACAGCCTGTCAGGGGACAAACCAAGAAAAAATCTGAATTACATGTCCCAGGCCCTGTTTGTCATGAATATCCCACGTTACAGGTGGTTGGGCTGAGGGTGAGCCGTAAGGCTCTTAATCTCATCAGGATGGTAACTTACCATGGAGCTAATGAAGCAAGAGGCTAATATTACTTAATGTCTTCTGGATCCCAAGCCTTGAAATAGTTAAAAGTCTTAAGGCATGGAACATCATAGAGCCTCCTCATCCCATTCCAAAGACTCTTGGCCAAGCACAAGGAATCCCTAGCTTAACTTCTCCCTGTAAAGTTTTCCCTCTTTCACTGTTAGACTTTTTTCTTAAAGTAAATTGACATTGAGTTACAACACCACCTTTAAGCAACTTTTCAAAATTACCTTATTTCTTCATGACTTATAGCTTAATTCTGTTTAGATCTTTTTTTCTTTTTTTTTTGTAAACTGCATTAAGTTTAGGAGTGGAGGGGAGCATGCAATGAGTGTAGTTGCTTGGAACCATTATTTTTATATTGTGGCATATTATAATTTGTTCCAAACTCCACTACAAAATGAAGCAATGCATATTATATCTTCAAGGATGATTAATGTACTTCCCTCTGGTAGCTTTGGGAAGAAGGACAACTGGTAAATATTATGTACAAATCAATCAATATGTTAAGAAAGTGAAAGTGTGTATGGATGTTACATATACAAACTCTATCTGAATAGGATGATGAATATCCAGACAGATGGAGAATATCCTAGATGTGGATTAGTTCACAGCATTCTTTAAATAGTTTGGTATGAATAATTTTTGAGCACCACGCTCATCTCTGTCCTTTGTACTCTGATAGCCAGTGAACTGAGTGGCTTTTGCCCATCTGTATATTGCTGAGTTCACTTGCTAGATTAATAGGCATTATTAGGACCTGTACTTCATTTATCCTGTTGTTTGCTTTCAAGGTGTAATGTTATTTGAATGGTTTAAGCTGTAACATTTCAATAATCTATTTTGGAGTTAGAATTGAACTCTTATTGTCGAGAAAATGTCAGAAAACAGAATTCAGTATCCATTTGCTACCTTTTGATTATATGATTACAGTAGATATGGCATGTATAATTAGGAAATCAGTGGAAAGGAAATATTTCATGCCAGCCAAAGAATATTAATTGCTTGTTAATCATATTGTTTTAAGTAAAAATCAGATGCTGTCCATGCTGTTGAAGAAAGGATAGAAGAATGATCTTGGGTCACCCATTATAGCTCTGGACAGACTAATAACACTTATTGGGTTAAATGATAAACTACCCTAATTGGTTCATTACATGAAACAGGACACAACGTAAGCAATATAAAGAAAAATACTTTTTACAGCTGTTTAGTTTTATTTTATCAGACAGTGGGGAGGGGGCTGTCCAGACAACAGAGATAATTTTAAATTGCTTTAGGGCTGTAAACTTACTGTTTAAAACTGCTTGGTAAATAGCCAGTTGATTTTGGCCTGTAAATGAACCTGATGCTTAATGGAAACTTAATGGCCAGTTCTAAATGCTTGACCAAAAAGATGTCTAGCATTTCTTTCTGTCTTAACCATGACAGCCTTTGTTCACCAACTTTCCTTTAAGTTTTTGTGGGAAATGTGCATTATTATTCCAGACTTTTCTCTAGATGGGGTAATGTGAGCTCTTACAGGGTTATCCAATGGTAATATGGCCAGAAGAGTGAATAATCTTCTGGCCATATTACCAGCTATTAGAGCCCATGCTGGAGTTCATGGGGCTAACTACAAGTTGACTTACATCTTTGGAGATAGTAAGCTCAACCTATGCTAGCTGTGTCTATGTTCTGCACACCATTATCAGTATATTCAAGGATGCCTTCCTCAACCTGATGCCTTCAAATTGAAAAAGCAAGCTGTATTGGTTACCGGTCAGCTTCCGGGTGCAATTCAAGGTGCTGTCATCACCTTTAAAGCCCTTCATGGCATAGATCCTGGCTATCTGAGGACCACCTCTCTCCACTTGTTTCTGCCTGCCTGGTGTGATCAAGCTGGTGGTGTCCTCCAGGTCCCATCTATCAAACAGTGTCATCTTGTGAGACCTAGAAGGTGTGTCTTCTCAGTTGCAGCACCTGCCCTCTGGAATGATATCCTCTGGAGATTCATGCGGCTCCCACCTTTAGGACTTTCTGTAAATTATTCAAAGTCTGTTTTTTTCTTAGCCCTTGGGTTAAGGTGGTTGGGTAGCCCCTTCTAGTTAGTTTAGTTTAGTTTAATTTAAGATTGGGCATTTGTTCTTCTGGTCGGCCATGTTCATCCTTTTAAATATATACTATATATTTCCCTTTTTTAATTTGTAAGAGTCATCATTGAGTCAGGCAGCCTCAAAATTTGAATGGATGGATGGATGGATGAAATATAATGTAATATTTCATTAAAACAAGTGCCAGTTGTGAAAACAGATACACTTTAATCATTGAAGGAAACTGCAATTTGAGAACTTAAGATAATTATAGCAAGAACACTGCTTCATTGTGTTCTGTGTTATTGTGATGATGGCAGATTATGCCATTTAGGGATTTGAGATTTCTGTTTCATGACTGGCTTCATCAGACTCAACAGCATAGTAAGCCAGATTAAAGGAAAGACAGGCTGAAGAAATACTGGCAACCAAGTATAACAGCATATATTCCCAGGAGCTCAATCACACCACTGACTCCAAGGAGAAATGAATGAGGTTGGGGTGCCTCTCCCAGAATGGAGTGTCCAGGCTTTGAGTTCTCTGAAGAGGGCCCTTCTCATTGTGACATCAGTGCATACAGTGGGGCAAAAAAGTATTTAGTCAGCCACCAATTGTGCAAGTTCTCCCA